GAAAATGGCTGTAAATAAAAAAAAAAAACTTAAACAAATGTGGAATTAAATCTCTTAATTTCATTAATTTTTCAAATCGAGAGGAAGAATCTGACGATTATGAGACTTTTATGGTGAATTTTAGTCTGCTTCATGTGTTACCTATTTTTTCAAATTGTATCTTCAATTTTGCTATTTTTGTTTATAGAATTGCCATTGGAAATGGACTTGACTAGCTTTATAAATACATCTAATTCAGGTTAGTATCCTACAGGAACTAAGTGTTAACTTAAACTATAAATTTATAATTATCACTAAGTATTTTAAGCTACAGTATTGAAAGTGTCATATTTTAATTCATTCATAAAACTTTCTCATCTTGCATTATACTAAGTTGACTAATGTGTTAGTCTTAAAAAGTTTTAATGTTAAAAATTTAAGTGATTGCTGTCAAAATTTATAGAAATTAACAGTCATTTATTCATATGTAAATTTTAAAAATTTAAGTGAATTATATTTTGATCGAATTTTAATTACGGATGCATTTGTTTTTTATATAGACGGTACTGCATTAGCAATATATTTGTTATAAATTTTTAAAGCAACACGAAAATGCGATTAGTATCCTGACAAAAGTCTTTAATTATCCCAAACTTACTAAACTTAGTTTAAATAAAATGTGTATTAAGAATGAAATTGTCTATCACTCCATAAGTCTACATTTGCAAATAGGAAATTAAAATATCTTAAAATTGCATATACGAACATTGCTGAAAAAGGCGTAAGAGAATCAACGGTGAATATCTTTCTACGTATGTATAACTTGTAATTAATTATGACATCTATTCATATATCAAATGAATTATTTTTACGTAGATTTATCGTATTATCTTTATTTAATTTGGATTTTATTCACAAGTCGGAATAGCAATAGCAAGAATTTTATAACGCAAATTTCAAGTACAATTTTATTCTTTAGATATTCACTCATTTCAGCCAGTTTGACTTAATCTAATTCCAAAGAAGTTTGTAAAATTTATGAAGATAAATATTATGATATTTAAAAAATATTTTATGTTTGACATATTGAAAATTTCCGATCATATTATGTACTAAAATATCATTAGCTATCGTCTGAGACGCATGACTACAACAGAATGTGGTAATTATATATGGTGTGAGGGGGAACTCCAAACAATTGAACACTTTATTTTAGAGTGCCCTACCAGTCAACGGGTTTGGAACATAGGTTACCGAATGTTAAATAATACCCTAAATATAACGATACCTACCTCTATTAATGATATTATTTCTCCTACCCAACTTCCTTCAATAAATGTTAAAAGAGCAATCAAATGGTTAAACCTCAATATAGTTTATGAAATTTGGTGCTTATATGCCTCCTCTAAATGGTGCAATAACACAATAAGCACTTTTAATATTACATCTATAGTCACGCATCATTTAAACAGAGAACTCAATGTTCTCCAGCAGCTTTCTCACACTGTAAATAAAGGTCTCCCTTCGACCTTAAAATTTCTTAAACAAATGTAAATGATAATACATAAAATCATTGTATATACTCAATAAAGCGCCATAAGCGCGCCTTATATATTAAGTAAATTCAAAAAAAAAAAAAAAAATATCATTAATAAAGTTTTATAGCATTAAATCGACATTTTAGACTTTTAGCACCCTTTGAAAATACACGAAGTACCACTTTTGCAATTACCTGCAGCAGAATATGTTATATATTTTTTTTAATGACATTTATCAATAAATTTTTGTAGCTTATAATCATGTAATATAAAGTTTTATGGGGCAATCACAAAATTCCGGGTGAAATGCATAGAGGCTGGACTGGCATTTTGGCATTAAGCAATAATAGCAAAATTACTTACAGTACGTAATTAGTAAATTTTGGGTTTTTGTTACAAATGCGGACAATTTCCAAATTTGCGTTTTTGATGGACAATAATAATGTATTATTTTGACTAAACATAAAATATTCTCCGTTACGCTCTGGGCAACCATTTTATTTAATGATAAATTTTTTTTGCCTTTTTTAAAAATAAAAAGAAGGCTTTTGAATATTTATGAGAGCAGCTGAGTTAGGAAATCCGGTTGCGATGGTATAGATATGGAACCGAAGTATAAAAAAATTCCCAGAAATCATTTGAATATGGTGTAAGATATTTAAGTGATTGCTATCAAAATTTACAGAAATTAACAGTCTTTTATGCTTATATAATTTTAAAATTTTAAGTGAATTGTATCTGAATTGAATTTTAATTGAGGATGCATGTTTATATTGAAGGTACTGTTTCACAATACATTAATTATAAATATTTAATGACACACGAAAATGCGATTAGTATCCTGATAAAAGGTTTAAAAACTTATTCAATTTAAATAAAACGTATATCAAAAGTGAACTGCCTACCACTCCACAAACCTACATTTGCTAATAGGAAATAAAAATTTCTTAATATTGGATATACAAATACTGATAAGGGAGTGAGAGAATCAAAGGTGAATAACTTTCCACGTATGTATAACTTTTTTATAATCAATTATGACATCTATTCATATATTAAATTAATTATTTTCATTAGGTTTACAGTACCGTAGTTATTTTTTTTTTTAATTTGGAACTCATTCAAGTGTCTGTGTCGAGTCGTAATAGTAAGAAAAGATCAACCTTATAAATCACTTACGCTGATATTTTATAACGCAAAATTTTAAATAACATTTTAATCTTTAGATATTCCATCATTTCTGCCAGTTTGACTTAAGGGAATTACCAAAGAAGTTTGTGAAAATAAATATTATGATATTTTAAAAAAAAGTTTTATGCTTGACATATTGAAACTCTCTGATCATATGCACCAAAATATATTAATAAAGTTTTAAAGCATTAAATCGATATTTAAGACTTTTAGCAACCTTTGAAACTACCACTTTTGCAATTACCGATACAATTCAACACCTGGAGCAGAAATTTTTTACAATCTTTTTTATGACATCCTCTCTGTCTTTATCAATAAATTTCAGTAAGTTATTATCCTATAATATATATTTCTACGAGGCAATTACAAAATTCTGAGTGAAATGCAATAATAACAAATCAAGTTTATAGCAAAATTATCAATTAGATCTTTTTACTTAGGGACTATATGTACGTACATAATTACTAAAGTTTAGGTTTTTGTTACACTAAAATATAAATATGCATATGGACAATTTCCAAATTTGCGTCTTTGATGGACAATACCAATTAACTAATGAACTAATCTATAACGCAACTATTGATGTAACCTTTTGTATCATTTTGACTAAACATTTAATGTTCTCTGCTACACTCTGGACACCTATTTCATATAGAGCATAGAATTTTGTTTCTTTTAAAATTAAAATGGACTCTGAACAACTTCGTGAACTTGGTATCAAATATGAAGACGGTATTGGTGTTAAGAAAGACGAAAAGAGGGCTTTTGAATATTATATGAGAGCAGCTGAGCTAGGAGATGAATGACGTTTCTCTTTGTTATAAATATGGAATTGGAGTAGAAATAAATGACCAAAAGCATCTGAATACTGTAAGAAATCGGCCGATATGGATAATGCTTATGCGATTTGTAATGTTGGTGCTTATTATGAAAATGGATGTGGAGTTGTCCAAGATTATAATAAAGCATTTGAATACTATAAAAAATCTGCTAATATGGGTGTTGAAATAGCAATGTATAGTGTTGCTCGCCTTTATATAAACGGTATGGGTACAAAGAGAGATATTCAAGAGGCAAATTATTGGTTCACAAAATATAGAAGACTTTTG